GGGCTTTAGCATTTATGGCTAGGGAACAAACATTGTAATGCTGGGTCTGCAAGAGGTACGTGGCTTGTTACATCACTGGAATAATGACAGGCTTCGCTTGACAGCCCTGTTATTGTGGTTGGGTTTCAGTTTTGTCGTTTTAGTTCACAGCTCTTGCTGCAAGTTGGATTATTTCAGCCTTGCTTAGGGGATTCAATGGAGCTGAAAGATTTATTTTAATGAGAAAAGTTTTGCAACCAAATGAAGCCTCCCAGGAAACGCATACTCTCTGGTAACTCACATGGTTCTGTGTTACATTGCTCTCTTCCATCAGCAGGCAGCTCTGGAGGCTCTCTCTACCCACACCAGACCTTTCTTAGAAAGGAGCAGTGAATATGGGTGCGTATTTATCCCTCTGAGTGTTACAGGTTGATCACACTACTGGCATGAAAAGGGTTATTTGAGCAGTTCCCGCTAGAAGATAAATGGTGTTGGTGTACATTCAGCCTGAAGTGCAGTACCCCTGCCTGTCTCTCTTTTGCTGTTCCCATGTAAAGCTCTATTTCTGCTTATGTTTTTGGCTTTGCAGGATCCTTGCTACCTTTGCCACAGTACCTGTCAATTAGCACTCTTTATTCCTAAGCTGTAGCATTCCCTACTACTTTTCAGTTCTAGGAATTACCCTTGCTTCTGCTTATGGGTAGATATTTTCTCCTTTCCTTTGATCACAGCAGAGTACTATGGGTCCTGTATTTAAAGAAGATCTAAAGAAGTTGTTGGCAATAAGCATGGAGTGTTGATGAATCCTGTATGTAACGCCTTGTAGTGTAATTTGTGTCTTTACATCAACAGAACATTAATCCTGACATTCCTTTTTAATACATTGCGTATATTTATAGCTGTGAAAATGGGGCAGAAGTGGCCACTTACACTCCTGCTTCTCAGGGTTAATGGTTCTCATAACTGCAATAAAAGGATGGAGAGTACCTCTTGGCATCAGACCGTCTTCCCAGTCTGATACTTGCTCAGTTTTTCTGGACTGGTGGTCTTCAATTCAGATTTATTGGGCGATATCTTTCAGTGCAGCCTGCAGCCATGGAAAACAAAAAATGTTAAAAGGGAAGAGATCGGGAGAGGAAAACTTCCTGGCAGACATGGCTTTGCCCATTATTGTTTCCCACAGGCCAATTAATCTTGTGACCCCTGCACTGTCTTTGGGCAGGGCTTTTTTCCACCTGTCACCAGCATTTCGTATCTGAAATACCTATTTCATATCACCATATATTTCATAGCTGAACTAGGGGCGACTCTGGAAACATGGGAACCTTTTTTTTTTTCTCCCTGCCAGCCTGATCTGTGATGAGGATGGCAGGTGCAGAGCTCCGGGAAGCAAACCCACTTGTTTTGGTGCTGGAAGATTCCTTTGCCTTGCATGGATGAAGTTGCTTGCTTTGGACAGGATTTGTGGTCAGGGGAGACAGCTGTATATGCCGCAGTGGGCAGCTAAGGGATGCTTCTTGTTTTGAGAATCAATACCCAAAATACCTCTGGGGGTGAGGAAGGGGAAAGGCTGGAGAACACTGGTCAGGTCAACCTCCGTGGAGAATCTAGTTAAAAATTCATCTTCTGACTGGGCAAAATGTTGGCAGAGCTGCCCTTCCAGGATCCCTTTGGAGCAGCAAAGCTGAAGGAGGGCAGGGCTGACTAGAGATGATGCAGAATTAAAGAGTAAGGAAAAGGCAAAGATCTGTGAAATAGCCTCCCGTGTCCCTTTCCTCCTCTCTGGGGTTCGCTAAGAGAAGCTGTTGCTTTTTCCTTCCAGTGGATGGTTTTCTTTAGGAGACTTCAGTGGATTCGGCCTGAACTTGGCTTCTTTCAGTCAGGAAATAGCCAATTCGTGACAGCAGCAACCACAGCAATCTGCATCCATCCCAGAAGTCATGCAAAAAAACAGCCAGTAACCGCTGCAGTGCCAAAGCTAGGAGGCAGAAAGGTGGAAAAGCAACCTGGAATTGCAGCCTGGAAGGTTCTACCTGCGGTTGAAAGACACCAAGGGCAGGAGAGGGTGCTGTATTTGCTGTCTGCGCAATGGGACCAGCTTCTTGCCTCCCAGCCAAACATTTTCCAGACTCTGCTCTGATGACGCAGCTGAACAAAAGGCCGTCAGATTTGAGGAGCCTTTCGTCTGGCTCCCTGGCCTGACAGAGACAACAGGAAAGGCTTCTTCTCCCACTAGACTTCTGGCTCAGCAACAGGCCAGCACCTCCGCTGCTGTAGATCGTTATTGTCTTTGTTGGGATGCCTGAGAATCTGGCAGCAGGTTTTCAGTTTAGGGACGTGGCGTAGTAGGAGCCTTTGCGGCATGCAGGTGGTTATGGAATTGGACTAATGCAAATATCTGAGGCTTGCGAAGACAAGCCTATGTCTTTGCATTAGGGTTACAATTCGGCCAGACCTGTGAATGTACAGGCTATTGATGTAATTCAGGTGATGGGTGTGGGAACTTGGGCTGTGAGTGACTGTATGTATCTAATTACCCACAAACTTCCCTGCTTTTAATATAAATGACACAGGTGAAGTTTGGAGTGAAATTTTGTGGGCTTCTTATCTGACGATTATTTTAGTACTTTTCACTAGAAACAAATCAGCAGTTATCTGGATCTGGTTTGGACAGTGTGAAGACCTGCTGGAGTTAACAGTAGGGTTTTTTCATGGGCAAATTATTAAATAATAATAGCTCCAGTTTCTTGGAATTTCTTTGGAAGTGTCTGGCTCTGCTGCTGGAGACAAGGTCCTGGACTAGATGAAATTCTGATCTGATTTAGTCTGGATGTTTCCAAACTTTCGCTTGTTGCAGAGTATAATTACTTAAATGTTTATTTAGGTTTTTGTTTTAATTATAATGCCGCCTTCTTTCCTGAAACACAGCCCGCTCTGGGGTAGAGGAAATCTATCTTCTGGTATACTAGATGGTACAGAAAAATGTCAGAAAAATTCAAGTGGGGCGATTAAGTTTATCTCCCTGGAGTGCCATGGGAAGGCTACTAGCTTGTATTTTTAAGCTCTCCTATGAGAGTCCCACATATATTTAGCTCTGTTCTACAGATGGACATTTGAGAATGGTAAGTTTTAATTCCCTATCCCCAACATTTTCCACTTGATGGCTGATTTGATTTATTGTTAAATCCACTAAACACTGTTAACTATAAACAACAATAATCTAACAACAGAATGCAAACAAACAGAAAGTTTTACCATATTTTATTTTTAACATATAGTAGTAGCAGCAGCCACACTATTTCCTGACTTCATACTCCAGTAATTTTCCTGCAAGTCTTGTATTAGAAGACTCCTGGCTAATTCTGTCACAGACATGGATTAGGTTGTTAGGCCAGATTCAGATGGAGCTATAGTCCAAGTCTAAAGCAACACTTAGACCTTTCATACCCATATCTGAAGGCACTCTATGGTACAGGGTGTTGAATACTCTGACTCAGTATCTTTTACCATCTTGTCCTGCTTGAAAATAAATTTTTCCACTGGAAATGAATTGCTTTTTTCAGAACTCAGACTTGGACTGACGTGGAAGAGAAATGTCTGAACACTTACAGAGTCAGCAGAGGCGACTAACTTAAACCAGCTTAGGACCTGTTCTAAATGGCTGAGCCGGCAGCCTGATGAAGCCGTTCCCACTGCCTGTGAAGGTTGCTGCTCTCTTCAGGTTAGACCGTTTCAACTGTTTAAACGGTGGCAGGAGGGCATGATTTCATTCCGTGCTTGGTTAGCCCTGCCATTTTAAGGAGTATATCCCCTCTGAACAGCTAAAGAAGAAATCCCCTAAACTGAAAAAATGACTGTCTCTGGTCTGCAGATGGAAACTAAGGCGATCTGAACTTTAGCTGGTCTGTGAGCGTATACACATAAAGGGTGTATGTAGATTTTCTTTTGTGAAGCAGTGTTTGGAGTTTAAGATTACTGCTTCTTTCTCTGCTGTTTGTTATTAATTATTTTCAGTAACTGACTGTGTTAATGCTCCTAATCGTTGTGGGACACAGCAGAGTGGGTTATATAAACACAGTTAAATACATCAGTACAGGCTTTAGGAGCTGGTTAATGTGATTTATCAGTCCTTTTCTTGAGCAAAGACTGCTGAAAATTCAGTCGTTGCTTGACGCTGTTGCTGTGTCTTGGCACTGCTATCAGGGCTGATATTATCTTAGGAGTATGCAAGGGAGAGGAAGAGCAGTGTATCAGGTCTTCTGCAGTTAAGGTTACTGCAACGTGTTGGTCTTGGTGCTGGTCAAGCAACTACTAGCATCGTTCAGTTCTTGTATGGGGGGCTGAAAGCAGAAGTTCTAAATCTGACTCAACTTTCCATGTTCTGGCCTCTGTGACAGGGAAACCTGTTCCCCACATTGCAGTATTCTGGGGCTTTTAGTCGCATTCTAGGCTCTCTTCCCTGCAGTGCCCTAGTCTTTGTCCTTATTGCCCTTTTGCTAAGATAGCTGCTCTTGAGCCCTTGCTTACAAATGACAGGAGAGAGTAAATACTGTTTTCTAGGTTGTCTTCGGAGACTTGAGCTTGAACTAAAACCATATGAGGAGACAAAGATCAAAAAACCACTGAAGGCAACAGAATAAATCCTGTCTCAAGCAGACAGCTGGATGAGTGTCAAACAAAGGAAGGAACAGCTGGATCAAGTAAAGCACAAGGAAAATTAGTTCCATCCCTAGGGGGAGGGAGGAAGATTGTTTCGCGAGCCCAGAGCTGTACGGGACCAACTTTACCCGATAAAACTTTTTACATCAAAGTCAGCAGCAGATCAGAAGGTCCCAGAGGGAGGGGAAAGAGAAGAGTGGGTGTTCGTAGTAATTGTGGAGAAAGTGTTAGGGAGAGGAAGGAGGTGGAGTGTGAGTGTAGGGGGAGAGAAGAGTGGGGAGGTGGGGAATTGGAAGTTGTAGGTGGAGTAAATCTGCAGAATATGAGCTGCTGTCCACAGCTTTCTGGATGTAAATTGATGAGGTCATAGTGTTTTCCAGCTACAAAAAAAAAAAAAGTTTTAAAAAAAAAGTCTTCCACTTGTTTTTCAAGAGAGACGAAAACACGGAGAAGCTGAAGAAATGAAGCAACTAGCAAAACTCCTTCTGTGGCAGATTTTACTTCAGCAAAGTAAGCTCCTAGCTGATCGGCATGATGTTGCTTGTTTTTATTTCAGCTGCAGAGGACAGGGCTGGAGGTTAGCTGAAAGATTTTGAGCTATCTTTGTAAGATTTTGTTCAGATTCCGAAGTTAGCTGTGTTTTCGTCTGTGAGGGGAGGGAACAATGGATTTTTCATTCTTTTGGAGAGGAATGGGGAGAGAATGGAGAAATGTGTGAGGTTGTTTAAGTGGTACTGCATTCAGCATGTTTGTGCAATCTGTTTTTTCCTATCAGTTACCTTGATCAGCAAATTCAAAACCAATAAGCTTTAATGTGAGTACAGTAAAGCTTGTATAGTTAGATTTACATGTTCCAAGGTTATTTTATACTTTTGAAGAGGCAGAGACAGCTGGTGTGTGTGTGAGAGTGTTCAGGATGGAGGAAAAAATTGGAGTGGGTTTTTTTTTTTCCTCCCTGTCAGCATAAAGACAGACATAGGCATTCACTTTTGGGTAAGGTGCAAGAAAGGGATGAGGAGAAGTCTGAGCTTACAAGAACAGAATGGCTTGTACCTTTTCCTTAATCACAGAGTTTTCTGTAAGAGCTGCAAGCAAATTCGGGGTCCTGAGATCCTGGCTGCAAGCTAAACAGAGAACCCCCAGTAAGGCTTGGATGGCAGAAGATTTGAGAATTAATTGCAAACCCCCAGCAAATCCACACTTGCAATGCTTTGGGCTCTAAGGAGAGCACCTATGGGCAAAGGACCACTTAGAGCTCTAAGAACAGTACGGAGAGACCTCATTCGGGGTGCTGACAGTAGGAAGTGAGGAGCACAAGCTTTTTGGGGACTGGTGACCCCCCTGCTCCTCACAGCCCTGTTAATGAAAGGCTGTGCCTAGCCACCTGAGCCTCTCGGAACTCCTCAGTATGTAGATGGAGTAAGCTGAAGAGTTCTCGGTTTGGTCCCTAATTAATCTAGTTTCCATGTCACCACATCATCCCCAGTTTCGCAATGCCTCAAGGCAAGGTTTAGGAATTGGCAACATACGGGATCAGTCGTAGGGACAGAAGGGTTAAAGTGGCTCAGAAAACTAGTGCGTGGGAGTGGGTTAAGCCTGGAGAAGGAGGAGAGGTCACATACTGTATTTCAGAAGCACCAACCAGTCCAGCTACTCCCCAGTGTGGTTTAGCGTGTTGGCAGAGCTTGGGGAGCACCCAGGGCAGGAATAGCAGGTTGGGTTGCTCTAGAGCAGTGGGGGAGCTGCATAGAGGCAAGAGTATCCCACCTAAGGATGGATGATCTCCGACAGACTCTTTTCAGGTGTATTTTGGAGAGATAACTGTCCTTATGCCAGGCGGCCCTGACGTTTAAGTCCTCCTATCCCCACACAAATCAGGTTATAACATAATGAGCGCAGATGGGAAGGGGAGAAGCGAGGAAATCTGTGCCGTTCCATATTTGCTGAGATGATCCTTTTTGGAGAGGAACCACACCCTCAAGTGTTAATGTCTTGCAGGGAGGAGCAGCACTGTGTTTGGAATGGCTCTGCAAACTATTCTGTGGGCCTAGAGCCAACATGAAGTACACAAAGCAGAGAAGGGTTTATATTTATTTATCTGAACTGTCTGTGAGAAAGTTAGGGCAAATCTGTGAGGGATCCTGACTGTGCAGTGGCCAAGATGGCGATTGGTTTCTTGTACAGACAGAAGGCTTTTTCCTTTCTGCCGAGGCAGCACATTCTTGCTCTTTGTGGATTCATGGGCATGTTCCTACCTGCAGCGAGGTGTTGGAATTGTTGGGACTAGATGGGTAGTTAAGGGCTCTCCAGTCCGGACATCTGTTTTGAAAGCAGAAGACTCTGCTGCTGAGAAAGTTGTCCCAGGAAGCCTTTAAAAATAAACAAACATAGATGAAGTTCAAAGCCTGACTTGACCATCAGTTGACTTTATAAGGGAAGCCTTGTTTTACTGAAAAGCTTAGTCTTGCAATCCTAGGCCAGCACAGGCAGGTGGTGAATGGGACATGTCTAGGTGGAACTATATTGCTCACCGTCTCCCTCCTTCGCCTCTTCGAGGTGGGCCCAGATGTTATTCCTGGTTACTGGTCAGTGGGTTTTAAAAACAAAAAGAGGCTACCAGAAGAGAGCTGAGCTCATTTGTGCAGCTGTCATCTTGATGTCACTGCATCATAAGCCATTATGACCTCTTAGACACTGGGTCAGCTCCCTGAAGAGCCAGGATGGGAGCCACTGCCGTTCTCCAAAAGTATTTAGAAATAGCTTGGTAGCACAGGCTGCTGTTTTTGCAAGAACTGTGTAATGGCTCTACAGAGACCATTAAATACCCTGCATAGACAATGGGATTTATGGGAGAAATAAGGAATCTGAGTCATACAGATTTTGTGAAGAACATGCCCTTTCTCTAGGACTAGACCATCCCTCTGTAACCCTAATGTAAAGGTGATGTCGCTTCCTTTTTCAAAAGAAAAAAGAAGCTGAGACAGACCAGGAGATACTAGAGAAGCTATGCAAAGGAATAACGAGCTGAGCTTACTTAGGCAAGCGGCGTTTCAGCCTCACAGACTGTTGTTTCAACCCACACACCTGATGGGTTATGACACTCATTTCTCCAGTGACGACTTTGTTTTCTTTCCTGCCCACTGCTACAATCTGGACTTCAGTGATGCTTGTTGCTTTGTGAGGCACTGTTCCAGGCAGCTTATCCTTGCTCTGCCGACATCAATGCAAGGCTCTTCCTGAGTTCAGCAGAAGCACTGCAGGTAGAGCTGGTGTTGTTGTGTCCCATGGAGCTACTTGGCACTCAGGCTACCACTCACGACGTCTGCAGTTTCCTTTTCTGCTTTGGGAGTCTTTCGTCCTCCAGTATGAGGCAGGGACTCAGTGGTTTCATTAGCACATGCATCTACCTGCGAAGCAGACCCTCTGCCAGCTCCTGTCTCCAGGAGGAGAGAAGTGGTGGTGGTGTTCAGACAAGAGTCAAAGGACAATTTTCTGTTTGAACTGCTCCAAGGACACTGCCTAGAGAGCTCTGAGTATGTAAGATGTCTTTCAGATCCTGAGGCTTTTACTTCTAGATGCCTGCAGTTTTTGTGGCTTAATTCTTTACTTGAAAAGTGGATGGGATTCAAGAAATACGAGCTGGCTCTGCCTTTTACAAGGGATTAGGAAACACTTTTGCAGGCAGCTTTCCTCTTGCTATATTGTAGGACCAGCGGAATACCTCTGGGATCCTGCTGAGAGGCACGTGGAGTCTGCACAGAGCATGTCAGGGGACAGCATATAGATGTCTTTTTGTTGGTGTTTTTTTTTTTTTGTGAGTACGTCACACAGAGAGGACAAAGGGATTATCCATCACGTGGAATTTGAGAATTTAAAATGAAAGCTACAGTAGTAAGTCCTGTGTTGACAACTATGAAGGTATTTGGTGTTTTTGAAGCTCCGGGTCCTGGAGTCCTGTGATTACAGAAGTCTGAGCTTTCACCAGGTGCATAAATACTCCTTGATTTTTACAGTTGCAGGTTGGGAAGTGTGACTCATCAAAATAACTGCTTCTAGTTTACCCCAATCCTGTAGTTCATAAGCTGTCAGCTTTGCTGGGTTATGGATGTATCTCTGCCTTTGTTCAGTAGCTACCGTGTTATACAAACAATAACTTTAAAAAGCATGGCTGGGGGACATGTCTTGTTTGCTCGGCTTATCTCACGTAGCAGAGCTAGGTTTCATAGCAGAGGGAGGAGACTGAAAAGAGAAAAAGGCTTATTCCTTCTTTAACTACTGCTCTATGTTCAGGTTATTGAAGGTCAGTTGTTTTAAATTCCATTTTCTCCAGGCATATGAGAGATCAGAGACATTCCAGATTCCTTAGATTTCTAAGTGATCTCATTTACAGCCATGTCAAATAAGTTTGAGTCTTATCCATGACCTGATGTATGTGTACAGATTCCCAGCATTGCTGGGGAATCAGAACAATCAGTTCTTCCTTCTTTGTCTTGTGGAGTTCCTATGCCTCTTGTAAAGACTTGTCCTTTCTTTTCCTCCTGGAACTTTGCTTATTGGTTGCTATGCCTCTGTCTTTTTGATATTCACACCTACCACTTTGTCTGGGGCTAGGAATGATAACCAAGGGCCAGCTTCAGACCCAAAGCTTCTGTGCAAAATCTGTGTGCGTGTGTGCATGTGAGTGTGCACAGACATGCAGTGAAAAACCTTTCTTCTTCCATGTCTCGTCTCTGTGCTGAACTCCAACAAAATACTTAACTATGCTTTCATGTCGAACGGGTTTTGTTCTAATGTCACTGTAACCCTGGGCCTGTTCAGCTTTGTGTGGCGACACTCAGGTAGTCAGAATAGCAGTATGGTGAAATGCAGGCAAGGCATCCACAGACTCTTCCCTTTTCCCAACGGGAAGCAACATCTCCTGGTCACTGAAGGGCAGACCTAGAAAGACCCTGGAGTGTAATTTGTCGAGTAAATGAGAGTGGTCCTGCCCTGTTTCTTAGGGAGCTGCTAGCAGAAGCTTTAAGAGCGGAGGGAAAAAGAAGCTGTCAAAACCCACAAGACATAAGCTTTTCTTATCGAAAAACTGTACCATTACAGACAACTTCACCGCTTCCTTGTTTGATGGAGAGTTGTGTCTGGAAGCATGCTGGACAAATGCAGGTAGCTGATGGCTCCAGCAGCCCAACCTGGCAAAAGGCCTCTCTGGGTGAGAGAGTTTGGACCTGGGTGGTCCTTACCATGCCAGTGGGGCCAACTAAAAGATAAAAAACCTAAGGGTTAGTGCTATTGTTACTTTAGGGCTGCCACAGCCTGCTGAGCAGAGCGTATTGGAAGGCTTAGGTGGATAATTTTGTCAGTTGTTAGATTTATGATACTGCATTTGGGATCAGTGTTTTTTACATTAACTTGCAAGAGGAAAGGAGAAAAGTAAATGCATTCCTCTTGCTGAGCCAGGAGAGGATGTTTCTGTAGCGATCAATTTGCTATTAATGAGCAGTAATGCAAGACTCTGGAAGCACTGGCTGTGCAGCCAGCCAGCTCATCCACACCGCTCCCTAGCACGCAAGTCGCTGTTGATGTTGTGATACCGTGTTGTTCCCTTGCCACACAGCAAACAACACCGATTCAGACACATTTGTCACACTGACACAAGTGGATGCTGTTTTGTGGAGAGCTGGTTGTCCTGTCGCAAGTGAGACTGATTTTCTCCTGGAGATTTGGTGCTGCAAGAGCTTTGTATCATTCCTTTGTTGTTCTAAGCTAAATCTAAATCCTGGCTTCCAGAGATGGAGACTGGCAGTTATATTTTACCATCAAGCATTTGCAGCCTATTAGGAGAGACCATCAAATGATGGAATTATAATGCCTTGTGTATGAGATCTCTTCTATCCAGAGCAGTACAGATTTTGTCCAAGACTTTTTTTTTTTTCCCCTTCTTTGTGATGCTGAGATTATAAATGTAGAAAAAAGAACTGACATTTGGAGTGTCTTTGAACTGGCAGTTCAACAGACAGTGCTGCTCATTTTTGTTCTCTGGTGTCACTGCCCAGTGTTTTGTGATAGGAAAAGGAAAGGAAACAGAGTTTATACTCAGCCCATGCACTGGGGGTGTGGTTAAAATATCCTCGTCTGGAGTTAATTTATTCTCTTTTGAAATGCATAAATTCCAGGACTGAAAAAAAAAATACAGCCTTTGTCTGGAGGACATTGTGCCTATGACATTAGCAGGACAAAACATCTAATGATCTTGCTGGAACCCACTTGGGCTTGGCTGGTTGGAGAGATGAATGATGTCATTGTGTTGGGCATCTGAATCCGCTCTCAAAGTGTGATGCCAGGAGACCTCCGAGACCCCTCCTACACAAAAAGCAGGAGGGACTGGACCAGAGAAATGCAGAAACAAAGGCGGTAGTTCATTTCTTGCAAAGTTCTTCCTGCATAGATCTCAGTCACGTGAGTTGGAGATTGTTGCAGTTGCACCCAGAGCATCAGTGTTAACTGTCTCTTCCGCCCCAAACTTGTCTGTGATTCTCTCAACTGTTCTGGCCCTACTGTTTCTGCTGATGCCTCATTATTTATACAGGACCAATGTCAGAACCTAAGATAATACTGGTGCCTCCCTCCCCCCTGCCTGCTCCTGCCTCCTTGGGTTCTTGGTTTTGTCTTACACAACATTTATTAAATAGTTTCCTCTGGGACAGAAGAGGCCTTTCACGCCGTTTTGGTGGGTGATGCCTTGTCAGATACCTTTGGTGTAACGTTTGAATAGCATCGTGGAAAAAACTCTGTGGCTATAGATGGTATGAAATAAAGACATGGGCTGTATGAAATTCAGTTGCAGGCTACGCATATCCCACATTATGCTTAAGCTTAAGTTTGTTGGGTCAGGCACTGTCTTTTGCTTTAAGTGTACAGTGTCTGCTGCAGCACAGACCAACCAAGGTCTGAGCCTCTGGGCTTAACCACAATACACATGTTAAATCAGTATATTAACAGAGAAGGGAGGGATAGATGGAATAGTAACAGGGGAGGTGGCTGTTGACTATGAGTGTATTTGTAGTTTTTTTCTTCCTTTTATTGTCAATAACATTCTTTTTTTCTACTTTGACAGGTTCTGTTTATTTATACTCAGGTGAGTGACGTCTTTGTAATCTGCCTGTTTTCGTGATCATGAGAAGAAATGAGAGGGACCCTGATTCTATGACACGCAGTGGGGGTTTCAGTGCTAACTTCCATAGGCAAGAACCATGGATCCCATGAACTAGTGTCTCTAAACTTTGATTAAACTGGGGGTTAGGATTAGGAATGGTAGGTAGGACAGGTCAAATCTACAATCCTGATAACAGACATCATAGACATTGCTTTCACTGATTGAAATCAGTATTTTTAAGTGACTTTCTATTGTATTTCTCCGTGAGAGCGCTCTATGTTGGTCTTGAACATTACTTTCTTCTGGGTGGAAAGTGTGCAGAGATTCTAGGACAGATCTGAGTCCTACTGTAGTGTCTTCTTCACATACCATTAATCTAGTAACTCTGGTTTTTTATTCTTTGCTCTTGGCTCTCAGTCCCAGCTGATGCCTCAAACCCAAACAGTGTTGTTGTGTCAGTGTTAAATATCAGTGCTACGTTGGGGTCACAGGCTGTTCTGCCCTGCAAGAGTTACCGCATGGTGTGGACCCAGGATCGTCTGAATGACCGCCAGCGTGTAGTCCACTGGGATGTGTACAACAACTACTATGGAGATAACAAGATGGAGAGGCTATGTGACATGTACTCAGCTGGAGATCAGCGTGTATACAGCTCCTACAACCAAGGGAGGATATTCATGCCCCAGAATGCATTCACAGATGGCAACTTCTCCTTGGTGATCAAAGGTACTAAAGAGCATCTTTTCTCCCTATGATATCTGCAGAATGGAGGATTCATGACTCAATTAAATTTGTGTTTTTTCAGTGAAAATGGCTATTTTACGGAGCATTTTTTTATAAATAAATAAATGTCAGTCTAATGAGGTTAATGAGGTTCTCTGAAGCACTGGCAATAGTGTTTTATTTCCCTTTGAAACAGTCCGACTTTGAGAGAATTGGTAACAACTCATTGCCTGAAAGTCACTTGGGCTTCTTGTGGACCTTTGACTGTATTTCAGTTCCTGAACTATAAACCCAAGATCATCATTCTTCCTATGCGTGCTCTTAGCTAAACTTATATCAGCTTTCTCTTTCCATCTGTTAATACAAATACGTTCCACAAGAGCAGATAAACTGAACAAATTATTGTATTAGGTGAGATGATTCTTCTCTGTTTAGCCCACCCTAGTCATAAGGATAGTTTAGAACTAAGTTATATAAAGACCTTTTTGCATCCATACAAGCATTTGGGAAACAGTATAAATTACAAAAGTAATCATTGTCTCAGGATAAAATATTCAACTTCCCCTCTCTTCCCTGTTGTACTAGATGTTGCAGAGAGCGATGAAGGCACGTACTCTTGTAATCTTCACCATCACTACTGCCACTTATACGAAACTGTGAAAATCCAACTAGCTATCACCAAGAAAGGTAGGTGTGGCAGACAGCTTGATGTTCCTTTCCGCAAGGGGCCTGGTCTGGCAACTGGAGTCCAGTGGCCACTAGGACTCTGTTGAATCCACAGTGGGCCTTGTGTACTGATTCACGGTAGGCTTTGCATGCTGTTCTTTCTGCTAGTGCCAGAGAAGCGTAGTGTGGTTGCAGGGTTTTGCCCATGCCTCTCAGCTGCAGGTTCAGAGCACAGATGCCACAAGAGGCTTGGAAAGCATCGTTAGACAGTGGTGCTCACTATGCTGTTTGCTATCAGATTCTCTGAGTTTCAGAAGTTTTATTCAATGTGTGTATTTATGAACCCCTCTCCTTTCTTGGCAGGAGCCAAACAATGCATGGAGCCTGTTAAGTAAAATGTGTACTTTAGGCAACCCAGTTAGCTAACTGTCCTGTTACTTCTCTAGCAGTAGAACGTCCCTAGTAACAATTCATCATCGGTCAGGTTAGCCACAAAGATCTGCCTTGTACAGTGGTTGGTGAGCTTACCCTGAGAGGTCTGTAGTTAAAAAGCCTCCTCAAGTTACCACACATGAACTCCAGCTCTAAAAGCAAGCTTCTGAGGGCTGTCGGCAACTGCAGTGTGTGCCATCCAGGCATCACTACTGTGTCATTTAGATCGACATTTATATAATGCACAAGTGAAGTTACTGGGGCTGATTGTGCTGGGAAGCTGTTGAAGGGCTGATGGGACAGTCGAGAAGTGCATCTCTTCTCTTCTGCTGCTGTTCTCACAGCTTCTATGCAATAAAAACACCCAGGCAGGCCTGTGAGCCACAATCTGCTCATCTGTGTTTTGGTTCTTCTGTTATTCCTTTTCAAGAACAAAATACAAAACAGTGCTTCTCTAACTCCTCCAGTAATTAGGGCATTTGTGGGTAGAAAAGCATTTCCTGCTTGGAGAATTGGGATACGGCATATTGAAGATGAAATCTGTTATTCTCGTTCCATTCTTAGTCTGTAGAGAGAATATGCTTCCTGCTTTCTGAAGCAAGAGGTTAACTCTCAGTTATAAGGAAAAGAAGGTGGTCTTGCTTAATGTACTGACCTAGGATGTAGAAGATAAAGGTGCATTTCTTTACTAACTGCCGAAGCAAGTGTGAACAAGGCACGCTGCCCCTGTGGCACTTCAAGATCTTTGCAGGGGATGCGTTAGAGGATTGCAGGGCCTGAGAGCAATCTTAGATGTGTCTGCGTGTCCTTAAGAATAGGACAAGAGTGTAAAGATGCACATACCAAGGTTGCACAACTTGTATTTTCTCCACAGCTGAGGATGCAAACCAGTACTGGGATGGGGAAAAGCCTGTGATTGTTGCCCTAGAAGGCAGCACAGTGATGCTCCCCTGTGTGAACCGTAACCACATCTGGACTGAACGGCACAGTGAAGAGGAACAACAAGTGGTCCACTGGGACAGGCAACCCCCAGGGGTTCCTCATGACCGGGCTGACCGCCTCATTGATCTGTATGCCTCTGGTGAGCGCCGTTCTTACGGACCTCTCTTCATTCGTCAGAAGATGAACATCACAGACACAGCCTTTGCCCTGGGTGACTTTTCCCTGCGGATTTCACAGCTGGAAAGTGCAGATGAAGGCACTTACTCCTGCCACCTGCACCATCATTACTGTGGCCTGCATGAGCGCAGGATCTACCAAGTCTTTGTGACGGAGCCGGTGAGAGAGAAGAAGGTGGTGAACCTCACAACTCACAACATTGCCCCAGCCATAGGTAAGTGGCCTCTGGAAGTGGTTCTCTGGATTGAGGAAGAGGTAAGTATCTACAGTTGCACCTTTGAGCTCTAAAGATTTCAGTAAGCCACAGGACAGGACTATAACACGTTACTTCCCATCATCACCTCAGGATGCCTTTGCTTTAAATGCCAACATGTCCTTGCCTTTCCTGTCCCTCTGCAGTGGTCTGCAGGGATCATGTAGTGCCAGAAGGGAGTGTGGTCAAGGCAAACCTGTGCCCTGCAGAAGTACCACAGACACCACTGAAGGTGCCACTTAAAATCATAGAATCGTTACGGTTGGAAGAGACCTCAAAGATCATCAAGTCCAACCTTCTACCCAATGCCACCATGCCCACTAAACCCACTAAACTATGTCTCGAAGTGCCACATCTAAACATTTTTTGAACACCACCAGGGATGATGACTCCACCAGCTCCCTGGGGAGCCCGTTCCAGTGCTTAACGACTCTAACAGTGAAGAAATTCTTCCTAATGTCCAACCTGAACCTCCCCTGGCACAACTTGAGGCCATTTCCTCTTGTCCTGTTGATAGTTACCACAGAGAAGAGACCAACCCCCACCTCACAACAACCTTTTGTGAGGGGCCCAAAACTGGACACAGCACTCGAGGTGCGGCCTCACCAGCGCGGAGTACAAAGGGATGATCACTTCCCTAGTTCTGCTGGCCATGCTATTCCTGATACAAGCCAGGATGCCATTGGCCTTCTTGGCCACCTGGGCACACTGCTGGCTCATGTTCAACCGGCTGTCGACCAAAACCCCCAGGTCTTTTTCCGCCGGGCAGCTTTCCAACCACTCGTCCCCAAACTTGTAGCGTTGCAGTTGTGACTGAAGAGCAGGACCCGGCACTTGGCCTTGTTGAACCTCATGGAGTTGGCCTCAGCCCATTGATCCAGCCAGTACTTAGAGCAGCACTGAGGTTTCATCTATGAAGGTTTCTCGCATTTGAGCCAGGGGCTATTCCTGCACTTTGGTTTGGAAGAGTAGATGAGGTCTTGCCTCCCTCGCTGCTAGTATGTGTATGACCTTGGTCGTTGCTGAGCTATTTCCATTACATTGGTATACGTGGAGCTGTATACGTAGCGATTCTAGGGAGGATCCTATAGAGCTGCTTTAACGCCGTGCTGCACCAGAAGTGGAGTGTCCCACCCATCAGGGTTAATTACCCTGCTTGTATCATGGCCAGCTTCTGTTTTCTTTGCTCCAGGGCAATTCTGCAGCCTGTTCTGCTCTGCAATGCTGACATGCCCTAAGGCAAACAAGCTGTTTTTCTAACAGGCTCACTTCCCAGATTGCTTTTATGGAACAGGGGAAGGTGTGGGGCAGGGATCGATTCTGCTCTGCCTTCGCTGTTACAGCATGCCACTGTTCTCACCAGTTTGGATCATAAGTGTTTCTCGCCCCTTTGCACAGGCGTTTAGGCTGTGCAGGATGCCAGACTTTGCAGAATCAAGCAGCATTTTCCTCCCCCCTGCATTTTTGCTTTTTTTTTTTTTTTGTCTTAAACCAATTTTCACATTTTCCACTGCAGTGAGCTATCATCTGTCAGCCTGTCCAAACTCAAAACCATCATGCTCAGTTCAGGCAGAAAAATAAAATAAAAATCCCAAGTTTAATATTTCTTTTCAGTCTTTTGGGTATAGTTCCTTATTAACATTGTAAAATATTCATTGTGGTTTAATATTTATTGGCTGCTTAATACAGAATTTTGACAAGCTTCATACATTTTTAATAGGTCTATTCTTCTTTAGCAATTGGCTTTTTCAAGTCACAGAAACCTAAACCTCCCCGCTGGGACTAAGGTTGGTGTCCAGAAAACACAGGCAGTACTAAAGAGAGGTGGGTGTTGGGGCTGAGCTGACATGGAAGCCAGGACATACAAATGTCAGTGTCCCTGCCCGTGGTCCTTTTGCTGCCCTTGAACCCTATCCAGATGACATTGTGCAGGTGGAAACTAGATCTTGTTTTCAGAGTTACCCACCCAGGAATTTATTCCTCTCTTTCCTGGATGTTGTCCTGGTTGTTGCTGAATATTTACCTCTCTGCTCAGAAGCTAGATGGAACCTATAAGTAATTTAACCTGCTAGGTTTGTCTTAGTTTGGCAGTAGTGCCCTCCGTGCTGGAGGAACTTGCCTTCCTGAGAAAAGCCATTTCCACTGTCAAAAAGAACAGCCTGAGACGAGCTTTGTCCCCAACGGGCAGTGGAGGCTCAGCTGGTCTGAGAGCACCACACATAAAAATGCGCTGAGTCGATGGGAATGGGAAAGAAGCTGAGACATCCGGAGTGCCTTTTTTAAACCCACTGCTGATGAGAAACCTGCTGGGATGTGCCCTATTTGTGTATAGCAGGAAAGGCTGAGATAGTGCCCCGTTCCGTGAAAAACTGTATGGAACTGTTCTGGGGATATAACATAAAGCCAAAATGAAACATCAGGAGATAACAAAAGCAAACCAATGAGCTTTTTCAGCAAGCAGCTATAGTTTCTGGCATAGCTCCAAGGCCCGGAGCCATTTCCAGACAGGAAACTTCATCCTGTTTTGAATATAAGCTTGAGCTCAATTCTGCTCTCAGTCTCAGCAGTATAAATGTGGTGTATGTCTACTAATTCAGCGCATTTTTACTCTGCGTTTGCTTTGGAGCAAGTGATTGAAGAATGGCATCTGTTGTGTCTTATGCTTATTGCTAAACTATTCTCAATCCTTTGCCAGCCTTGAAAAGAAAACGGGCCACGTAGCCAGTGTTTGTGAGCTCTCTTGGTGAAGAGCTTTCCGTTTTTTCCCAGCAGAAAAATCTGACCCTTGACACTTGCGTAAAGTAACGTAAAGGCACCTCTATTCTAACTCCCCCCCTCCATTAGAACTTATTTTCCTGTGGTTAAACCAGATCATGTGAGTGAATTGGAGGCAGAAGGGCATGCCGTGTTGAGATGTACTGAAAGATCAGATCTTGGTTACAGAATAAACCTTCATCACCTCAGTTTAAGTTCTGGTACATCACTAGGATGAGGAGGAGTCTGTATTACCTTGGTGATTCTGTTCCAGGCACTGACATTCATCTACTGGGTACGACTTAGTCAAGTCTTACTCTGTGCCTCGGTTTCCCCAGTTATAAAGTGGGATATATTCTGCTGCCTTTCTGGTGATGCACTTTGAAATCCACCAGTGGTGCTTTGTCAAAGCACTGGTATGACAAGTATTTTTAGTATTACTTGACTGAGTAAGCCAAGGAGGCCCAAAGTTATTGAATCTCTGTTTCTGCTGTTTGTTGTTACAGTGACCTCTCCAATGTTGACTAAAGTTTTAACTCGGCTCCTACCCTATCTTGCAGTATTCTGGGAAAGCAAAAAGGAAGGAATAGGGTGCATTTATGTTTGCTGACTTCTGGCTCACAGCTGCCTCAGTGGCTACCATCTCGTTATGGGAGCTGCCGAAGAAGCCTTTCACGATCCAGAGTTAAAGTAGAACTGTCGTGTATACTGTTTGCAGCTTTGCAAGTGGGTTTTTTGGTTTGGTATTTTTTTTAGCTTAGTGGTGGTGAAAAACACATGCTAGTTTTCAGCACTATAGCCAGCAAACACACGGCATCTAGCCATGCTAGTGGAGTGTTGCTGGAATGGAGGGCTGGGCTACGAGAACGGAGCATACGCTAAAACCTCTTGATTTTCTAGGGCTGCCGTTAGCATTAGCAAACGATCATCTCCGGTTTCCAAGTGTTTACTTCAATCCACTACCATCTTACTTGATTTTATTCTTGGTGGATTGTGTTTTTAAATGCTGGAAACAAACTACCTGACAAACTGGAACCAGTCAGTATGCCAGTAGTTCCAAAAATGTCAGCAGTTCTGACGTTAGAACACATCTGTTAAATGGTACTGTGGCTTCGGGGATATTTCCCCCTATCTTTCCCCTTATTCCCTCTGACTAATTTACAGGGTTAAACTCCCAAGAGAATGGTAGGCCAGAACTCCACACTGGTTCCTGCCTGGCGCTCTGGGAGTGTTCCCTGTTAGGGGGAGAAGTTGTCGTTTTCAGCTCTGTTTTGAAGAGAAAAGCCTCTCCCAGCACCGTGTGTCTTATGGGTTTGCTGTCTGTGCCTGGGCTGGATTTGTCCACTCCTCTGACTACTGCAAGCGGAGAAGTTGCTTCCTCTTTATATGTGTAAAACATTGACCTATTTATTTGAGACCTACAAAAATGTTCCACGTAAAAGTTTTGAGTTACCCTTCACTGTGCTGCCGAACTGAAATGCTGCTGCACCCACAAACGGAATGGAATCTTGGCTTTTCTTTGTGGGTTTTGATTTTATTTGTTTTATTGATTTTTATTTTATTTAAAAGGAAACTCATTCTTTGGCATTGAAAATTCCTCCCACTCTGTAAATTATAACCCTTGGCAGGGAGGGGCTGCTTCATACTTCAGCTGTCTGGAGCCGAAGCGACGTGGTGTGTGTGTGTCTTGTAAGGGACCCAGAGGAGGGTTGTGTTACCCTGCGGAAAGGCTTGGGGCTGCCTAGTGTGGCTCCTTCGTAGGCTTCTCCTCTGCGATAAACAGGAACGCGCTGGCAGCCAGGCAGCAGGAAGGGAATGTGCAACAGGCACTGTTAATACTTCATGCTCCTCTGAAGTATAATGGTCTTGTGAAGAGCACGGGCATCTTCCATCTGACAAAGATGCGGTATGTTGTAAATTAGGCAGCCGTTTGCCCTTTAATTTGTGCGGTTCAGAAGAGTTTCTCACTGAACATGCTTTTTGGGTCCATATACGGGCCCGTGTGTGAATGTGCTTTGCTTTGGATGCCAATTACAATTATCAACCTGTTTTCCTCTATCATCAGATCCAAATGTTGTCAGGGGCCACAACGTAATAAACGTCATCATCCCTGAGAGCCGGGTGCACTTCTTCCAGCAGCTGGGATACATCCTGGCAACTCTGCTGCTCTTCATTGTCCTCCTCATCATTGTTGTCCTCATCACCCGCAAGCGCCGGCAGAGAGGTAAGTGCTAGAAAAGACCGGCCCTGTAGTGCTTATAGGGATATCTCATGACACCAGAGCTAATTCTGCCAATAATTACTGCAAAGCACAATGCTGAAGGCAGTGATCCTCTTCTGGAAAATCAGCAACTTACACAGTGGGGAGTCTTTGCAGGTGCCAAGCAAGATTCATTAGCGTGCTGTAAAAATTTCCAGGCCTTGATTTGCTGACTTGCTCAATTGTAAGGGAGAAGAAAATTAGAACTGCTAGATAGTTTCTCTTTACAAGTGGTATTTATTTAGAACAGAAGGCCCATGTGCATCCCTTAGGAACTAAGATATCTAAGTCCTTGCTGGGCTCCCTGTGCTGGGTGACTGTCTGTGTAATTAGATAAATGGACACCGAGATCTTTTGGTGACCTCCACACAAATAGTTTTGGATGCCACACAAAAAGCAAATACCAGGGAATGCCTATCTTCTGGTGTGTTCTTTGCAGTACCACATTCATCCTTATTTACATGTCAGGAGATTAGCACCAACACGAAATGGGGCTATCTCCACTGACTTAAGTGGAGTTACTTTGCAGTCACAGAGGGGAAAGTCTCCTGGTCCTGGCCTTTGGATGGAAGAGAGGAGCCTGAAATCATCACTCCTTGCAGGGTGGGTGAGACAGGAGTGTAGTTAGATACCTGGCATGTGGGAGGCTGATGAAAACCAACATCTCTAGCATGTGATGGCTGCAGGCCTAAGCAATGAGCTGGGGATGGGCAAGTGCAGCACCAGCACACAAGAGATGACAAGTGTGGTTAATATTTTTGTAATAAATGGGAGGTGGAAAGCGATGAAATATAATGATGGCTATAGCTTCTCATGGCTGGTCATCCATAGATCTGGGAAGACCGCTGGAAAGCTGGTGAGTAAAGGAAAGGGAAGCTCCCGGTGGCAGTGGGACGCAGATATGAATTCTTGTGTATTGGAGGGGTTGTGAAAGCGTAAGCATCCATTGTAAGCATCACAAATAAGGAGTGCTGTGAATAAGTACTAGGTGTTATTGTTATCGCTGATAGCTGGGAGGGGTTGGTTGGACTCGATACAACTGCTCATTCTGTTTCTTCTCCCTGTTTAGGTTATGAATACAATGTGAAGAAATATGGAGAGTAAGTATAATTACAGGGTCTATTATCTAGGATTAGAATGCATAAAAATGAACTTATGGGCCCCAACCCTCAGCTGTCATTAGGAGCCTAAACCAGCCAAGGATCTGGTTAGTACGAGTACAGCCATGTACAGCACAGGTTGTTTGACGGAGTTTGTTCATTGCTTTCCACCAGTTCTTTTGCAGCTTTACACTCTAGTCATTATTAATATAATATTCCCAAGAGTATACACTTGCATAATGATTGCATATCGGGGAGCAACTTCCATGCTGTCAAGGTACTGAAGGACAGAATGGTTTGTAGGGCTGACTTGGCAATTACATTTCCTCTCATTATACTTTGGGAACTGATTCACAGATCTTGTGTTCTGTGAGGTGTCGTTAGGAGTTAGTGGTAAAGGGGTAGTGCACACATCTGCTGTAAACCCTACTGCGAGATGGGGACAAGATTGTGTAGCTGGGTTCCTTCATGCTTTATTATGTATTACTAAAGTGGAAGAGATGGAGAAGTTGTAGTACAGATTGGCTCCCCGTCATTCTAAGCTCTGGACAAACACATGGGGAAAAAAGAGCCAGCTAGCCGGAGATCTCAAGGTATTAATAGAAAAGACAGTAAAAGGAGGAGAGATGAGAACTGGATTCACTAGTAAACAATATGACCTTCTGAAATCTGTTTGCTAGCTTGGGGGCAAAGAAATGTACCCATGTGCAATGGCTGCCAATGCTGTTACCTATCGGTCATGCTTTCTCCAGGGAATCCTTGTAGAAACTGGAAAGGGTTCTGTAAGGATTGCTGTGAAAATCACCAGTACTTAATAGAGAATTAAATCTTCTACAGATTTTTTTTTTAACTTTTCTCCAGATATATAGCAAATAAATATTGTAAATTAAGTTCTCTAAAGTAGCATTAGAAAAGCTATTGTGAAAAGTGTGAAAGGAACCAGTTATTAAAGGAGGTGACAATAACATTTTTCACTGTTACTCCTTTTTCAGGAAGGATGTAAATCTTAAAGAATTTACAGTCGACACAACAGATCTGACTCAATACAAAAGTGAAGACATCAGGCTGGGTATGCATCAACTAGCAACTATTCTCCAAACCAGGTCAAAACTCGTTATAACTGAGGATTTTCATTTAGATGCCTATTTTGAAGTGACTTAACGTTCTCAAAAGCTGCCATTTAAAATCAGGACCTCAACCCATAAGTCAGTGCAAGCAGGGGGACTGGAGCTGGAGAGGGTGGTCCTGACTTTTGAGTTTAACTAGAGGCTGATTGATGAGGTTGGTCAATAATGAGGCAGAGCTTCTTTTGTTTCACCTGGAGTTTTTGAGGTTCTTTGACATGCACCTGAAAGTCAAATTCAAATGAGTGCAAAACAACATGGAATGAGATCAAGGCGGCATCTAAGGAAGAGGATTCCTCAAATTTAAGTAGTTTGTGCAGGGAAGAGGATCAACAAGGCAGTTCTCTAGACTCTCATGTCCAAGCAACTAAAAGCATCTGTCCATATGAATATCACAATTCTACCATAAATAAAAACTAGCTCAGAGTGAGTGATTTGGAGAGAAAAAAAATTAGCTCGGCAGTCTTTAGTACTAACTACCAACCTTCTCATCTCTCTTGAATGTGGGTATGAACTGTAGTTGACTGAAGTGGGGATGAAGAGAAGTCATGAGCTAGCCGAGTTCATTGCCTCCACCTTCTGATGAAACCTGTTTGGTTTAACTTTCTACAGTGTCATCCTCCCTGGATGTCAAATCATTTAGTGAACAGCCTTCTATCAAGATCTCTGATAGTAATTAGGACAAATAAACATGGGAAACACGATAGGAAGAAAATTTTCGAGAAAGGCCCTAGAATACATAAGTTAGAAAATATAAAGAACACTGGAACTCATGGAAACATGAAATGCACTGAAAAGAGGGGAAGGATGCTAATCTCACTTGTAATCTGTGAAAGTATTTTTGCTGGGTTATGTAGGACTGACTTGGGGAACTTAGAACATTCCTGAAGATGGATGCTGCTCCTTACTAGAGTTTGAAGGTGCAGCCTTGAATTTATTGTGTCAGTAATTGACCAGGGGTGTCTTCTTGCTTGGACTTGGAGTGGATTGTCTGTAAAGCAAAATTGATCCTCTTCTCTGCACTACCCTGAGATTCCTGAAGACTTGCCATGATGCCAAGTTCACACCTGCTGCAACTTGCCGTATGCCAGTGAACTTGTTGATAGACCAGTAAACAAGAGGTAGATACAAAATCTGAAGTAAAGAACAAAGGAATTGCAGAGGGTGGGTTGTAAACCAGGACAGCAACAAGTACAAATTCTTCTCTGAGTGTCTCAGGAGAGCTCCCCTGTGAGCAAATTCTTTGAATAACTGCATCAGTCACCTTTAGGTGAGCTTCGCATAGATAATCCAGAGCTTTTTGTTACATGCTGGAAGAACCTGTGGTAGCTATGAGGAGCAGGAATCAGAAGTATGCATAACTGATTAGTGCCAGGGGGAAAAATTAAGTCGTAGCAGCTTTCCTTTTGCTGCTGAGTGGCTGAGTAACTCCATGAGTTACTCCTAGAGATCTGGAGATGCCAGGCCTAGAGTCCTTCAAGGAAGGACTGATCACATGTCCGCCTTGCCTGTAAAGCTTTGTTTTCTTTTAATGTTCTAATGACTGTCTGAATTATATTCCTCCCTTACACAGATTACAAAAACAACATCCTGAAGGAGAAGGCTGAGCAAGCCAGAAGCTTCCCAGCAAAGCACATTGATTTAGACAAAGGTAATAATGACTTGCTTCACTGTAATTTGTGGCTGTAGGAACCTTCTGGTGGGTTGAAGGAGGGAGGAGAGAAGGACACAGTTTAGCACTGACCAAGCCACAGCCGAATGAGGAATGATAAACATCATGAGAAATAAAAATGAGAAGCTAGTTCCCTTCCTATCCTTTCATCATGGAGCCACAAGATGCAAGTAGTGATTAAGCTTTTAAAAACCTCTGGCGTGGCACAAATAGAATTTTTCTTTATTGGAAAAAGAATGCCTCACAGGGCTGGAATAGTGCATTCTGTACTGTAACCTCAGAGGGAGATGCATCTCAAAAATGTCCTGGCATGGTGTTTGAGAAGAAAACACTGTGCAGAAGAGAGTGTTTTCAGTTGAATTAATTTATGGGTAATGGGCAGTCACTTACTTCATCCAACAAAAGCAAACAACTCTGCCTCCCTAGGGGCTGAATCTCCTTTTACTTATTCATTATTAATCCTCAGTATTATGCCTCAGTTTGTAGAGTCACACTTATGTCAAGCCGTGATTGTAAGAAGTTGTTGGGTCCCATGACTCCTTTCATATGAATTTAGAATATAATAAATGTGACTGAAATGATACCAAGAAGGGAATGGTCTGGAAAGTCCATGAGTTGCCTTAGACCTGCTCTTCTTGATGGAGTTCTCATGATATTTTTGCCTACATTCTGCAGAGATGATCTGTGCAACAATTTATACACAGTATATCTCACTGTGGGCTTTATGAAGAGGATATTGGGGACATGGTTGCCTGCAAATGGTCACTTGTTGCTGTATAGCTAAGTCCATATTACAGTGTGCTGCTTTGGATGGTTTGAAATCTCTCTTCAGGTACTGACCTCCATTTCAATTTGCTTTCAGATTTCAGGAAGGAATATTGTAAATGAAGACATTCCCAAGCTGCTGGCTGGACCAGAAGCTTCAATCAAAGACAGATAAATGGAAGAGATGCCTTTCCTTAATATCATGTGCCTCCAGTTACCATAGATTTTTTCACGTAGACTTTCTCCCCACTAAGCACAAGGGTATTTGCAAAAGCTTCTTGAAAGAGTTAGACCGTCTGTCTTGTGTGCACTTATGATGGGTTTTGGTTGCCTTTTCTTCTTCTGTTCTCCCAGTCCTCCATTCCCCTTTTCTTTCTTGATATTATTGTTGGTTTTATGCATCAATGATTTTTATGAGCTGAATCAGCAGACCTTTTGCTTTGATGTTACTGCTTTAAATAAACCAACCTGCATTGCTAATCTTGAGCCATCATTATATCAGGCATTTTTCCATGTAGTGTGTTCATCAGAAAAATAATAGCAAAGCCTGATTGTCATCTCTCATAGGCTGGCACAAATCAGTGTCACATAGCACTTTACATTTTCCAGGTGAAGTCAAAGAGTACACCCCTTCACAAATGACAATGTAAATACCTCATTTTATGAATGGGGAAGGGGGGGCACACAGGTGACCAAGGGTAGAGTTGGGATCAGTTCCAAAGAGCTCTGGAAGCCTAACTCTCTATTTCTCACTCTAAGCTTGTCTGTTGATTTGTTTTTGTTTCAGTGCAGACCAAATCAAATTTGGCATGAGCAGACACTTTCAGCTGAAGCTGATGAAGTTACAGTGCTGTAATACCAGTCTCAGTTAGATCAGGACCAGAAATATGGAGAGGGCTAAACTCCTGTATGGAATCTGGAATGTGATTTCCCTGCAGTCCTTGGGTGGATCCAGGCCACACAGAGCTTGTGTGCACATCAAAAAAAGGTATCGTTACAGCACAGGTAGACAGATTGTTAAAAGGAATAGCTTCTCCTGAACAGACCATGAGGAGCAAGAATAACGACACACGTCACTAAATAGCCTGTCAGGAATTTTCATGGGCCAGGGTCTCAGAAGGGGAATCGAGGAGGGAGATGAGTCCACTCTTGTGGGTTTTGGCATTATTTTGGGGAGCGGATACCTGAGATAGTGGGGCTGTGGGCCGAAGGGGAGTTCTACATATGAACAGTGTGTCAGGTGGGGATATCATAAAATTAGAAGTCAGCAATTCAGTGTTGTAATCCAAGCAAGTTAAAGCATCAGGAAAACTGGAGATTATTAACAGTTCTACACAGCTCCTCTGACTACTTGGGATATTCTGTGGGCACCATTCCCAAACCAGGCACACCTGTGGTCCTTGGGGCACAGAAGAAAAGGTCTTTCCTACTGTTGTGAGCATGATGACAGTGGCTTGTGTTCTTGTTGTGTAAGGGTGAAGACGGCCAAGGATTACCAGCCTGCTCTTTGGTGGTCTGAAGAGAATGGCAGAGGGAGGGATTGTGCATGGACCTGGTGACTGAATGGAACTGGGGTAGGGTCTCCAGGATGTTGCGGGTGGTGGAAGTGTGAAGAGGACCTTGTGTGGAACTCCTGTGAGGGAGGATGTGAGGGTAATGATGTGGTTTCAGTCTTGAAGTAGTGCTCTGCTTACAACTGGTATCTCAGCATGGATTTCTTCCAGGGATGGAGAATTCTCGGGTCTTTGCAGGTGATGAAGTAGCTGTGGTCCAAGGAAAGCATCTCAGTCTACCAGCTAAACAACTGGGAATGCGACCTGCTGTCTAGTATGGTATGTGTCTTGGCTGTTGGTTTAGCTGCCCTTGCCACTTGTCCGGGAACGTGTCAGTGCTGTCTAATAGGAGCACACATTTGGTCAAACTGGAAAGAGATGTTGTCATGGCTGGGTGAAGTTGCCCACTGCAGGAGCACATGTACTGTAAGGGTCCGGTGCTATTTTGAGAGCTATCCAACTCTATGGGCCTCCCCAGTGTAGGAATCGGTGTCGAGTCCCATACCTGCCCCTTCCTTTCCACCCCTTCCAACTTGGGTGTCTTGTCTGACTGATGCCAATGTTCTCAGACATCTAAATCCCATTTCAAACCCCCTCTCCCTCCTTCCACAAACACCACTGATCTCTGCTGTTGCGTGACAGGGCTCAGCAAGACTCTTAGCAACTCAGAGGTGTACTAAGCTGGGTGTGATCGTTGTGGAGTTGCAGCTACTTACACTGAAGCTGAGCTCAGCTCCTTAGCTCTGCCAGAAGTGTGGAGGGTAAGGCCTCGTGTGTACCAGAAGGAGCTGTGTTGTCTGTTCGGAAGCTAGGATGTCAGTACTTCAATGCACACTTTTTATAGGAGTGGAAAATGGACCGTGTCAACTTTTATAGATATTAATACTTCCCTTTGTTAGGATTATGTTAAAGAATAAATATATTGGGGATCCTTGTTTTTAATGCCTTCAAATATTAAAAATACTACTAATAGAATATAACAGTAGAGGTGGAGGCAAGCCTTTCTAAGCTACAGCTGGGCAGTTCCTTGTCTTTTCATTTGCTTAGCCCTTCCACTACTCTCTGGACAGTTTTTGTGGTTTGTGATTAACTACCTTTATCTTCACTTAAGATTCACCCCTACAAAAGTGCTCAGAGTGGGCAGACTCATGGCTAGTGGATAAGAGGGGGGGGGG